CATATTGCCAGAGGGAGTGGTTTGTGAAGTAACGCCAGCAAGCCATTAAGTGTGGAGATTCCTTATTGGTTGACTGCTGTATCTAGTTTATGCTAATTAAGATAAGCTGTGTGGAATGTATAAATACCACTCCTGTCCTACAATAAACGGCTCCCACTCCTGCTGTATCAATGAACACAAGTTGCTCGTCACCCCCTGGTTATTTTGCTGCAGCCGGACTGCGGCATCTGAGGTAAAAATAACATAAGAAATGAAATCAGAGAGAAAATACAAAAAGTAAAAGGTCAATTCAACAAGGAGACAAAGATCCTGAAGAAGAATCAATCAGAAATCCTCAAAATGAAGGAATCACAAACAAATTAAAAATTCAACAGAAAGCATCACCAGCAGACTAGACCTCTTGGAAGGCAGAACCTCAGGCAACAAAGACAAAGTATATAACCTTGAAAATAAAGTTGACCATGGAAAAAATGTTAAAAGACCACAAATAGAACTTCCAACAAATATGAGGTAACGTGAATATACCACATTTAAGATTTACCAGGATAGATGAAGGCTCAATCCAAGCCATGATAAAGATATAAACTAAAGGAATGTACAAACTTTTCAATAAAATAATGTCTGACAATTTTCCAAACTTTAAGAATAAAATGGAAAATCAAATACAGTAGACTCACAGGACCCCAAATGTACAAAATTACAGTAGACCCACACCAAGGTAGGTTATTATGAAAAAGCCTACCTAAAGAATTTCAAAAGCTGCAAGAGAAAAATGCAGGTCACATTTAGAGGGAAACTAATCTGGATCTCAGTGATTTCTCAACACAGACTTAAAGCTAGGAATTGTTAGAATAACATACACCAAGCTCTGAAAGAAAATGGATGCCAGCCAAGAATACTACACCCAGCAAAATTAAGCTTCAGAATTGATGATGAAATAAAAACCTTCCATGATAAACAAAAGTTAAAAGAATTCACAACTAGAAAGCCTGCACTACAAAACACACTCAATAAAATGTGATGAAAAAAAGTGAAAACTAGCAAAGGGAGGAACTACACTAAAATAGTCAATCAAAGGGGAAACTAATTTAAAATTTTAAAACAGAACTAAATCAAAATGACAGGGAATAAAAATCATTTCTTATTAATAACATTGAATGTAAATGGCCTAAACTTACCAATCAAAAGATGTAGATTGGATTAAAACAAGCACCCTACAATATGCTATCTCTAAGAGACTTACCTCATAAGTAACGATATCCACAGACTAAAGGTAAAAGGATGGGAAAAAACATATCATTCACATGGTTCTTGTAAACAAGCAGGGGTTTCTATCCTCATATCAGATAAAGTGGACTTCAAGCCAAAGTTAATCAGAAGGACAAAGAAGGACATTTCATACTACTTAAGGGAATTATACATCAACAAGACATAACAATTGTAGTATTTATGCCCCAAACAATGGAGCATCTGTGTACATCAAACAAACTCTTCTTAATTTCAAGAATCACACAGACCACAACACAATAATACTTTAACACACCTCTCTCATCGCTGGATAGTTTGTCCAAACAAAAATTAAATAAAGATGCTATAGAAATAAAAAATACAATTAATAATTTAGACTTAACAGACATATATAGAATATTTCATCCATCAGTGACTGAATACACTTTCTTCTCAGCAGCACTTCTTTAAAATAGACTGTATCTTAGGCCACAAAGCAACTCTTAGCAAATACAAGAAAATAATAGAGATAATACCTTGAATTCTATCTAACAGATCATGATGAAAAAAATCAGAAATCAATGATAGAATTTAAAAATAGAAGCTATTTGTTTTGAATACTAAGTAATATGTTATTGAATGACTATTGGGTAGCAGAAGAAATCAGGGATGAAAATTTTAAAAATACTTAGAGGTAAATGAGACAAACAACACATCAAAATCTCTGGGACACTATGAAGGCAGTTCTAAGAGGAAAGTTCATTGCATTGAGCTCATTCATTAAAATAATAGAAAGTCACCAAATAAACGATCTAACATCACATCTAAAAACTCTAGAAACAGAAGAAAATCAACACCCAAAACAGAAGACTGGAAATAATTAAAATCAGAGCCAAAATCAATGAAACTGAAACCAAAAAAAATTTAGAAATCAATGAAATAAAAAGTTGGATTTTTGCAAAAACAAATAAAATTGATAAACCCTTAAACAAGCTAAGAGAAAGAAAGAGAGTGGGAGAGAGAGAAACTCAAATTACTAAAATTCATGATGAATAAGGAAATATAACCATGGATACTACTGAAATACAGGCAATAATCAGAAGCTATTTTGAAAATCTATACTCCAATAAAATAGAAAATCATAAGACATTGACAAATTTCTAGAGACACATGAACCTACTCAAATTGAATCAGGAGGACATATAAAATTTAAACAGATCAATTTTAAATAATGAAACACAAGACACCATCAAAAGCCTACCAACAAAGAAAAGCTCAAGACAAGATAGATTCTCATCCGAGGTCTACCACACCTTCAAAGAAGAACAATATCAATCCATTCTCAAATTGTTCCATGAAATAGAAAAGGAGAGAACCCTTCCAAACTTGTTCCATGAAGCTAGTATCACCCTGACACCAAAACCAGACAAAGACACATCAAGGAAAGAAAACCTCAGACCAATATCCCTGATGAACATAGACACAAAAGTTCTTAATAAACATTCTGGCAAATCACATACAAAAACATAGTGAAAAGAGAGTGCACTACAATCAAATGGGGTTCATCCCAGGGATACAAGGTTGGTTCAACACACAGAAATCAATAAACGTAATTCATCATATCAATAGACTTAAAGACAAGAATCACATGATTATCTCTATACATGAAGAAAAAGGATTTGACAAAATTTAGCATCCATTCATGCTCAAAACACTAGAAAAACTAGGGACAGTAGGAACATACTTCAACATTGTAAAAGCCATCTATGCTAAACCTAAGGCCAACATCATTCTCAATCAAGAAAAATTGAAAGCATTCCTTCTGAGAACTGAACAAGACAATTTGTATCCCTCTTTCACCTTTCTATTCAACCTAGTCATTGAAACCCTAGCCAGAGCAATTACACAAGAGAAAGAAATTAGAGGGATACAAATAGGAAGAGAAGAGCTCAGACCATCCCTATTTGCCAACGACATGAGTCTATGTTTAGAAGACCCCAAAACTTCACCAGAACACTTCTAGAACTCAAAAATGAACTCAGCAAAAATAGAAGGATATAAAATTAACCCTCATAAATCAATTGTGCTCCTATACATCAGTGATGAATTGATTGAAAGAGAAATTAGAAAAACCATCCCATTCACAATAGCCTCAAAAAAAATACTTGAGAATAAATCTAACAAAGAAATAAAGACCTCTACAGTGAAAACTACACAGCACTAAAGAAAGAAACTGAAGATCTTAGAAGGTGGAAAGATCTCCCGTGTTCTTCTTCTTTTTTTTTTTGGTGGGGGAAGGGGATACCAGGGATTGAACCCATGTGTGCTTAATCAACGGAGCCACATCTCTAACCCTTTTTATTTTTTATTCCAAGACAGGGTCTCACTGGGTTGCTTACAACCTTGCTAAGTTGCTGAGGCTAGTTTTAAACCTGCAATCCTCCTGCCTTAGCCTCCTGAGCCACTGGGATTAGAGTTGTGTGCAACCATGCCCGGCTCCTGTATTCTTGAGTAGGCAGAGTGAATACCGTCAAAATACTACAAAAAGTGCTATACAGATTTAATGTAATTCCTAGTAAAATCCCAGTGATGTTCTTCATAGAAATAGAAAAGGCAGTCATGAAATTCATTTGGAAAAATAAGAGGTTCAGAATAACCAAAGCAATCCTCAGCAAGAAAAGTGATGCAGGAGGCATCACAATACCAGACTTTAAGTACATTATGCTGCCTTTGGAGTAGACAAAGAGGAAGGAAGGAAGGAAGGAGAGAGAGGATGGGAATAGGAAAGACAGTGGAATGAATCAGACATCACTTTCCCATGTTCATATATGAATACACGGCCAGTGCGACTCCACGTCACGTACAGCCACAAGAATGAGATCCTGATTGGAATGTTAGACTCCATGTATGTACAATATGTCAAAATACACTCTATTATCATGTGTGTCTAAAAAGAACATAATAAAAAAAGAGAAGTGCAGAAGCAGGTGTTAGGTGACCAGAGTCCACCCAGACCCGGAGAAGCACCCTTTTAGGCAGCAAGGAGAGCTGTCCTGAGGTCTCCACTAAGGGTCTTCGTGGGATGGGACCTCAACAGTCAGGATCAGAGCCTCTTGTGTGGCCTTGCCTGTGTCCCTCTGAAGCCCTCAGGTTGCAGCCCCAACCTCCAGGACCTCAGGAAGGGACCTTAACTGGGGATATGGCTGTCACAGGTGTCATCAGCCCCAGTGAGGCCACCCTGAAGGAAGGCCCCTAATCCCATGTGACTGGTGCCCTCATGGTGGGAATGCCATGAGAAGAGGGAGGGGTACATATGGGGAAGACAAGATCAAAAAAAGACAGAGGCCACACCTGTGATCCCAGCTACTCAGGAGGCTGAGGCAAGAGGATCACAAGCTTAAGGCCAGTCTCAGAAACTTAGAGAGACCTTGTGTCTAATAAAAAAATAAAAAGGAATGGGAATGTAGTTCAGGGGTGAAGTGTTCCTGGTCCAATTATGAGCACTGCCAAGGAGAAGATTCAGGGGTCATGTCCTCTACAAGCCAAGGAGCTCCAAAGACAGCCACAGACCACAGCCCAAGTCGGGAGAGAGCCCAGGACAGATCCCCCTCGCAGCCTCAGGGAGGCCCATCTCCACCTTGATCTCAGACCTCCAGCCTCAGAACCCAGACAATCAGTTCTGTTTTGAAGCCGCCCACTCTGTGTCCTTTCAGCTCCCAGGAGGAATATCCTGACCATCCGTGCCCTCTCCAGGCTGAGGCCAGGTCTCCTACCTTGATCCCACCGGGCGCTGGAGGAGAGGCATCACAGGAGGTAGGCGTGGAAGAGGTCATGGGCGAGGGAAGGACAGAGGTCAGGCGGGATGTCACAGGGTGGTGCAAAGCACTCGGGATCTCAGGGAAAGAAGGAGAGTGACACAAGTCAGGACAAACATCAGAGGAGCAGCAGGTTTCCAGAGAGCAGGTGGCTTAGCAAACCCACAGCAGCCAGTCTCCTCCCCCCTTGCAGCCTCAGGGCGATGGAGAGGTGGACTCCTTCCTTCCTCCTTCCCTCCCTTCCTCCCCTCACCTTCTTTCTTTCGACTAGGGGTGGAACCCAGGGACACTCATCACTGGACCACATCTCCAGCCCTTTTTATTTTTTATTTTGAGACAGGGTCTCACTAAGTTGCCAGGGCTGGTTTGAACTTGCGATCCTCCTGCCTCAGCCTCCCAAGCAGCTGGGATTAGAGGTGTGCACCAGCACACCTGGTGCAGAGGTGAACCTCTACCCCAGGAGCAGCCTCAGCGAGTCCCAGATGGAAGCTCCTCCTGACTCAGGTCCGCAGCCCTCTGAGTGAACGTGTGGAGGTCTCAGACCTGTTTCCCAGTAGTTGGACGCCCTCCAGGACCTGTCCCTCAGGGGCTCCTGGCGTTCTGCATTCACTGCAGGGAGCACACAGCTGCCTAGTTCTTTTCTCAGGCTCAGCCAAACCTTGTGACAGAAGATGGGTGTGACTCAGTGAGCCATCCAGAATGGCAGCCTTTCCAGAGGGTGTTTCCACCTTGCAAGGGGGACTTCCCTAAGTTCCCCCAAACACTCTGTTTCTAGACTTGTCTCTCTGGGAGACAACTTAAAGCAGACAGGAGAAGCAGATCTCACTCAGTGCAGGAGTGCAAGAGGAAATCGGGGTTAAGCAGCGGGTATGAAGAGAAGATGCACATGGGGCCATATTTAGATTATCTGCAGGTCTCTAATGTCCTGATGATACAGCTTGTGGCAGCCCGCTCCTGCTCCCAGGGGAGAGGCCTCTGGGAAGGCTCACAGCAGACAAAAGGCCATTTAGGTGCAAATAGCCTTCCATCAGCAGGTGAGACTCAGAAGTCATGGAGGGACAAGGAACCCCTGGCTTGCACTGCATTCAGTGGGCTGCACCAGAGGACTTCAAAGGATGGAGTGAAACTACAAGCTGTCAACAGTGGGAAGGAGGTCAAGATTGTGCAGTCCAGTCCTGAAAACAGGCACTGTCCACAAACATGCGCTTGCAACACCCACCCCGAAGAGGAAAGTGCTCATGTGCTCCAGTCTCTGACCTTTACCCTGAAAGTGGACGTGCCGACTTGCGGCAGGCCAGGGAGAAGTCACTGATGGTATTAGCAGTGATAGGGCATTAACAAAGCTGTCACAGCAAACCCAGACACAGTGGCAGAATTAATTTTTCCTTCATTAATAAGATCCTAATTTGCATGATTAATATGTCTCAGTCCATGAACACAGGCAGCATCGGATAAAATGCCACCTGCTGAGCAAAAAGAATAAGACAGAGAAATGACTTGACACAGCTGCAGGCGCAGGAGCTGCCGCGTTTCCCCCAAACAATGCTGGAAATGCTTGAAATGTCGCCATTGTTGGAACAACAGCTAGAAGAATGCAGAGGCAAGCATTCCGGAGGAGTCCTTGGAAAGGTGAGCTCCAGGGTAAGCACAATGGCTGCCGTTGGGCCAGGATTAGGACTGCCTGCTCCCTGGACTCCTTCCTCACCTCACATGGCTTCCTGAGCTGGCCCCAGGCAAAGAGGCAGGACATTCCAGGCCACAGTGGTGCCACCCATCAGCCCAGACACTTCCTGCAGCTGTGAGCCTCAGCTGCTTTGGGCTGGCCAGCCTCAGGGCAGAATCTACCAAAAGCACAAGCAACAGGGAGCCAAGGGGAGGGGAGCTGGAAACTCCTGGGAAGAGGCTGCAGACCCTCTGTGGGTGCTGGACACAGCTCCCGTCCCTGGGGAGGAAGGCACCCATGGGTCCCAGTGCAGTGCTCAGCCGGCAACCCCGAAGGTGGGGTTTTGGGAGGCCACTGGGCAGGAGCTGCCACAGCAGAAAGCCGCGCTGCCCATGCCACTTTGTGTGGTGATGGGAATGTTGCAGACCTGCAGGCACTGGTCACTTGTGGCTATTGTGCCCTTGAGGGGCTACATTTTTACTTCATTGCTTTTTAATGTAAACTGAATGAGCCAGAGCTGGTTAGCGGCCACCATGCCAGACAGGGTGGGAGGGAATGCCCTGAACCCGGTTGGGAGTAAAGTGTGGGTCTCCCACTCACCTAACTGCTCCCGGGACACGCGTTCCACCCCCTCGGGCTCCATTTCCTCATCTGAGGCTCAGAGGGCTGGGCTTGGGGGTCCCCAGAGCCCCATCTTAACATCCCACCACCTGCGCTGCTCACATTCCCTCAGTGCACTTCCCCCTGCTCCCTCGGCAGGCAGAATCTCCCTCTCCTGCGGCCCTTGAGTTCCTCGCCCCCATTGGCCGTGCTCCACGTCTCCACCCTAGGGACAGACCTCAGGCTCTGAGAGGGCGCGTCTGCAACCCAGAGGACACCTGGTGCCTCCCCTTTCCTCCTTGTCCCAGGCCATTACTGTTCTTGCCTCCCCACCCTACTCAATACTAGTAGAAGACCCCAGTGGAATCCCTCTTTCTGGAAGCTTCCCAGAGCTGTGGCTTATCAACACCTCCCTCTCCTCTATTCAGAATGAACCTCAGCCTCTGGCACAATGCTCCTTGCCTCGGGTCATTGCAACAACGTGGCCTGTCTCGGTAACAAACGGGGCACAGGCAGGAGGGGGGGTAGAGCCTGGGGATTGGACAGAGGAAGTGGGCAGCTCATTCTCGGTGCCAACCAGCAGCATGGCCTTGGGAAGCAATGAGCCTCTCCGGGTTCTCAGCTTCCTCCTCTGGAATGTAAGCACAGCAATGTCTGTCCCTGTGGTTGCCGTCCCCTCAGGATTTTTAGTCCCCGTTAGCTTCCCTCTCACCCTCAAGGGCAGCAAATGTGGCAGGTCTAATCTTCAGTACCCCAACCACATCCAGGGGTCAAACACCCGGGTATAAATGTAAGAGCAGGCAGCTCTCGTCTTCCTTTGACGTCCTTTCGTTTATTTTTTCTACATAATCTATAGATGGCTTTCAGTAATTCAGACAGTATGTACCAGAAGGACCACATTCAGCCAGTGCCTGAGTTCCAGAGTCGGTCATGTGACCTGGGCTGGGAACCTGCACAGGTGGTGCATTGAGGAAAATGTTGAATAGAAAGCATTCCCTGGCTGCCTTCTCTGCAGAGTGCTCACTCCGTGATGTGGACTAGAAGCCCTCGGCAGTTAGGTCTGTCTCCACCTGCAGCAGCTCATCTCGAAAATCCCACCCTCACAGCGCTGGGCCCACTGCTGTGCTGCCTGAGCCCCTCACGAGCCAACACCCAGTTTTAGTCCAGGTCTTGTGCTCCTCCTTCTGCCGGCTAAGCTCTTCTACTCGGCCAGCAACACCCAGGGGAAACACTATACTCAGACGCAGAGAGCAGAGCGCTGGATGCTGGGGTGGGGGGGGGGAGGCCAGGAGACTGGAAGATGCAGGTAGGTGGGTGATAATGTGTGACAGGAGGACTGGAGTCAGTAGCCCCCACACTGCTTAACAACAGGGACACGCTCTGAGAAACACATCTCTGGCAAACTCCATTACTGTGCAAACACTGTAGAGTGTGCTGAGACAGCTCCCACACCACTGGAGGACACAACCTCCTCGTGGGAGCCCTGTCACACATGCAGCTCATTGTTGACTCTGAGGACCATCATGCCGCCCAGGACTGTATGATAGTGGAGATTCGCCAAGAGAATGCACTTTAAGAACACACACACACACACACACACACACACACATGCACACATGCACATACGTATGGGTGATGGAGATATTCGTTTGCCTGACTTATGTATATCAAAATATCATGTAAAATGCTTTAAAATCATGTTGTACACCTTAAATACATACAATAAAACAAAGAAGTACTTCCACAGCCACATGGTAAGTTAAAATTCTCATATACACTGTTATGGTTTGCATATGAGGTGTCCCCCAAAAGCTCATGTGTGAAGAAATGTAAGAATGTCCAGAGGCGAAATGACTAATTAGGAGACCTGTGACCTAATCAGTGGATCAATCCACTGAGCTGGATGGTAACTGTACGCAGGTAGATTATGACTGGAGGAAGTAGGACACTGGGGTGTGCCTTTAGGGGGTATATTTTGTCCCTGGTGACCAGATTGTGCGCTCGCTCGTTCTCTCTCTCTCTCTCTCTCTCTCTCTGTCTTCTGACTGCCGGGTCCTGGCCCGCTTTCCTCATCCATGCCTTTCCGCCATGATGTCCTGCTCCACCTTGGTCTCTGGGCAATGGCACTTACTCTCTATGGAGTCCTCTGGAGCCATGAGTCAAACTTTTCCCCCTCTAAAATTGTTCTAGTCAGGTCTTTTGGTGACAGTAGTGAAAAAGCTGACTGAAATAAATTGATCCTGAGAAATGCAACTAACTTGACCACGTGGTTCAGAAGCCTTTGTGACTAGTTTGTGGGGGGAGGAATTTTGAAAAAAGTTTAGAGATGGAAAAATTTTTGTACAGAGCAAGCTGTGCCTGCCCTAGTGACTCCATGGTGTACAGAACAGCAGTCCTCAGGCTGCCCCTGCCCTAGTGACTCCATGGTGTGCAGGACAGCAGTCCTCAGGCTGTGTCTGTCCTGGTGACTCCATGGTGTGTAGGACAGCAGTCCTCAGGCTGCCCCTGCCCTAGTGACTCCATGGTGTGTGGAACAGCAGTCCTCAGGCTGTGCCTGCCCTAGTGACTCCATGGTGTGTGGAACAGCAGTCCTCAGGCTGTGCCTGCCCTGGTGACTCCATGGTGTGTAGAACAGCAGTCCTCAGGCTGTGCCTGCCCTAGTGACTCCATGGTGTGTAGAACAGCAGTCCTCAGGCTGTGCCTGCCCTAGTGACTCCATGGTGTGCAGAACAGCAGTCCTCAGGCTGTGCCTGCCCTAGTGACTCCATGGTGTGTAGAACAGCAGTCCTCAGGCTGTGCCTGCCCTAGTGACTCCATGGTGTGTGGAACAGCAGTCCTCAGGCTGAGCCTGCCCTAGTGACTCCATGGTGTGTAGAACAGCAGTCCTCAGGCTGTGCCTGCCCTAGTGACTCCATGGTGTGTAGAACAGCAGTCCTCAGGCTGTGCCTGCCCTAGTGACTCCATGGTGTGTAGGACAGCAGTCCTCAGGCTGTGCCTGCCCTAGTGACTCCATGGTGTGTAGAACAGCAGTCCTCAGGCTGTGCCTGCCCTAGTGACTCCATGGTGTGTGGAACAGCAGTCCTCAGGCTGTGCCTGCCCTAGTGACTCCATGGTGTGTAGGACAGCAGTCCTCAGGCTGTGCCTGCCCTAGTGACTCCATGGTGTGTAGAACAGCAGTCCTCAGGCTGTACCTGCCCTAGTGACTCCATGGTGTACAGAACAGCAGTCCTCAGGCTGTGCCTGCCCTAGTGACTCCATGGTGTGTGGAACAGCAGTCCTCAGGCTGTGCCTGCCCTAGTGACTCCATGGTGTGTGGAACAGCAGTCCTCAGGCTGTGCCTGCCCTAGTGACTCCATGGTGTGTAGAACAGCAGTCCTCAGGCTGTGCCTGCCCTAGTGACTCCATGGTGTGTAGGACAGCAGTCCTCAGGCTGTGCCTGCCCTAGTGACTCCATGGTGTGTAGAACAGCAGTCCTCAGGCTGTACCTGCCCTAGTGACTCCATGGTGTACAGAACAGCAGTCCTCAGGCTGTGCCTGCCCTAGTGACTCCATGGTGTGTGGAACAGCAGTCCTCAGGCTGTGCCTGCCCTGGTGACTCCATGGTGTATAGAACAGCAGTCCTCAGGCTGTGCCTGCCCTAGTGACTCCATGGTGTGTAGGACAGCAGTCCTCAGGCTGTGCCTGCCCTAGTGACTCCATGGTGTGTAGAACAGCAGTCCTCAGGCTGTGCCTGCCCTAGTGACTCCATGGTGTGTAGAACAGCAGTCCTCAGGCTGTGCCTGCCCTGAGTGACTCCATGGTGTATAGGACAGCAGTCCTCAGGCTGTGCCTGCCCTGAGTGACTCCTGGTGTACAGAACAGCAGTCCTCAGGCTGCGTCTAAACCTTTGTTAGACCATTTTGTAAAGCAGTAGTTTGCCATAAGCTTTTCCATTCTGAGTTAAGGGCCAAGGGGGAGTGACTCCAGATCCTGTTTGTACAAGTAAACAACTGCTATCTACCTGGCACCACCATGAGCATTAACTGAGAAGTAAACTAATCATGTAACAAAATGACCACACGTGAATTTATCAAATTAATCAGAAGCATAAGAATGCATGGGTATGTCACAGTCATACCCCCCAAAATAGGCTCATGAGCTTATCAAACACATCAGGGCACCAAATGATGCAACCCCCTCACTTGAGACCATAAAAGGAGGGCCACCCTCAGACTGGACACAGCGTCATCCTGACCTCAACAATTGGTCACCTGCCAGGAGCCTCACCCATGAAAATCGTCACAGCAACAAACTTTAGCTTTGGCAGAGTCTGGTTTCTCCTGCCCATGACGACCAAGCAAGTCCCACTCCAAGCTGACCGTCTGACACTGCCATCCATCGGGACCTTGGCCTAGAAGTCCCTGCACTTAGACAGGGTGTTCTGCACCCTGCACAAGCTCCTCTGCTGGGTCTCAGTCTTCTCTGGCCACCAACAGCAACCAGGCTTCTTTCTGGCTGCCCTCTGCCTTTGCCCTCAGCTCAGCCTCCTGAACCCTGTGGCTGCCTTGACCCTTCCCAGCCTTTCTGTGACCTACGATAAATGTGTCAAGGGGATGTGTGGCCTGAGCCTTACGGATATTAGAAAGTAAGATTGGAATAAAAGAACCTGCGACTGCCTGGCTTACGACAACCAGGTGGCCCACAAGTATTCTGTGAACGCCAGTGACGGAAGTGGTGTCGCTTGCGAATTTATTGTTACTCAAAAATTCTGACATTGTGGAGAAACACAAGCATGTTTCATCTATGTTCATGACATAGGACACTCATGACAGTTTTAGAACTTTGTAAGCAAAAAATAATGGGTGATTCTGGTGGGAACTCAAAAGACCAGAATGCCTATCAGACTGGACAGTGAAGACTGGGCTCATGAGGTTTCAGAGGAAAATGAGGACGTTCTTGAAAATTGGACTAGAGGCCATTCATGTTACATTCTTGCCGCAGTCTGGCTGGGCACAATTCAGGAGCCACTTGTCAAAAGAAACAAACTTTATTTTTAGAACACACACACCACACCACACAGCTCCTCAGGAAAACCCTCAGAGCCCAACTGCCACCACCAGCTTCCCACAAGCCTCTCCACCTCTCCCACTCCTCCTGCTCTTGAGGCCGATTGGCTGGGTCGTGTGGGCGGAGCAAAAAAAAGTCCCCCAATGAGCAGCTCCGTGGTCTGAAAGGGCAGGGAAACAGCCCAATGAGCATCACCGCAGAGGAGCCAATCAGTTGGCAGCTAGAAGTTTGCTGGGGCCGCTGTGAGCCAATCATCAGCTGGCAGCTGGAAGTTTGCTGGCAGCTGGAAATTTGCTGGGGCCCCTTTCAGCTGTGGCTCTCAACATCT